TTAGTGATAAACCTTGCCTTGAAAGATTTTTGGAGTTGGTGGAAGCTTTTGATTGAAGCCGGCTCCAGTTTATAATACCACCTGACAGCCAGTGGTCCCAGATTGCTCAGAAATATTCTGCACATGAGAGCCTCGTCGTCTGCATACAGCGTCATGGCTTGCTTGTAATAATGGATGTGATCGGTGGGGTCTGATTTACCGTCGTACAAGGTGAATGACGGTGCTTTGAATTTCTTAGGTAGCACTGCCCTTGCAATCCGTCGTACAAAGGGACCGTGCTGGTCTTCTTCGTCTGAATTGTTTCGTCTTCGCTTATGCCTTATACGTGGACTTTCTTCAGAGGAGCTGGTAGTTTCAGATCGCCCCTTCTTCTTGGGCTCCCGGGTTAATGAGTCGGAGTCACTATCAGTGTCTTGTTGTCGGGCTCGAGGTCGTCGACCACCTGCTCTCAGAGGTCGTTCCGGATCTTGGCGCACAGCTTGTTTGGACTTCACCATTTCCAAGGCCAAATCCTAACGGAGACGTTCGTTCTCAGCGATGCTTGCTTGTAATGATGGATGTGATTGGTGGGGTCTGATTTACCGTCGTACAAGGTGAATGACGGTGCTTTGAATTTCTTAGGTAGCACTGCCCTTGCAATCCATCGTACAAAGGGACCGTGCTGGTCTTCTTCGTCTGAATTGTTTCGTCTTCGCTTATGCCTTATACGTGGACTTTCTTCAGAGGAGCTGGTAGTTTCAGATCGCCCCTTCTTCTTGGGCTCCCGGGTTAATGAGTCGGAGTCACTATCAGTGTCTTGTTGTCGGGCTCGAGGTCGTCGACCACCTGCTCTCAGAGGTCGTTCCGGATCTTGGCGCACAGCTTGTTTGGACTTCACCATTTCCAAGGCCAAATCCTAACGGAGACGTTCGTTCTCAGCGATTATGTTCTCTAACCTCTGTTTGTTTTGCTTTGCTTGTTCCATGATCGCTTGCACTGTCTCATGCGCTAAAGTCGAGGGTGAGGCGAAGTTCAAGGCGTGTCTTGCGGCGATAGTCTCTGGTCCAAGCATGTTTATTAGAGTGAGGTCGTTTCTCTGTGTGGTTTCGTCAGTGACTATCAGAGAGTCTTCCGTTACGCCTGCCATGGATGTATTTGAGTATTTCCACAGACGGCGCCAATTTTGGGGAAGTGGTTTGGAAATACTTTTCAAATTCTAGGGGACGCTCGCGATCCTTAGATTGTCACCTGAAAAGAAATGAACACTCTGGTCGGGGGTGCCAGAATTAGCACTCCGACGGACAAGTTAGTCTCTACTCTCTCTAGATTACTTGTATTTTAAGTTAAGCATATTGATTCTCACATACCTCTTTCTGGCTGATGTTCTTCTATATATATCTTTTCTTTCTTGGGCCTCGGGATTGGGCCCACTTTCAATTCTCTATTCGGCTTCTTTTGTAGTAAACCGCTTTTCACTCGGCCCCTTGCTCAACCGGCTATTTTGCTGAATGGGTAGGATTTGAACGTGCAAGACGGGGCCAAGTGCTATATATATTTCGACTCTCCAAGTTCAACTATTCGGCCTCTTTACGACTCTCAATATTCGGCCCCCACATGTCTTTATCTTGATGTTGCTGAGTTGTGCTGGATGGAGGGCTTCGATTGTGTTTTGGATGCTTGTCTTCTTTTTGTAAGGTCTGGTTCGGTGTTGATCCTAGTCTTTGCTTGTTTGGGTGTTGGATGCTAGTTTTCTGTTTGGGTGTTGATCCTCTTTGCTTGTTTTGTTTTTGTGTGTTGGGTGGTATCTCACCAACTTTCTATGTTGGGGGTCTCTTCCCCTGCTTTGTTGATGTGTTTCATACTGTTGTATGTTGATTTTTATTAATAAAGTTGTTTCTTTTTTTGTTGATCAAAAAAAAAAAAAATAGAATTAAAATTGAAAGTATCACTTAAGAAAACTGCATACACAAATTATCTAAAGTATTTATTTTAAAAAAGTGATTCAATGTATGAGATTCCTACTCAAACAAATTACATATCGAAAACATTTATCTTATTAGGTTAAATATTAATATAAAGTAAAAAACAATTTTATCTTTGAGTATGGTATAAATTTCTGTCAAGAAGTTATTCGGTGGTCTTAGATGTGGTGCCCAAATTCATTTTCATTGGTTAAATTAAAACAGTAATTTTCACTAATTTTTTGTTTAATATTTGTAAACAACAATGCTAGGTAACTTAAAATTTTGTAGCTCAAATGGCTCAAATCCCTCACAACGACGTCATTTTGAGTGTAAATGAATGTAAAACGACGTCGTTTTGACAGATTTGAGCCATTTGAGTCACAAAATTTTGAGTTACCAAACATTTTCCTATTTGTAAATAACAAGACATGTGCTGGTTTTTTGATTGAGTGAAACAATGATTTTGGACAACGAAATGATTTTCCATTTGGTGACTGGTAAGCTATCCAATTGCTTGAGAAAGGAAAGCTCCTCCTTAGGCAAGTGAGTTTATTTTAGATTTGAGCCATTTGAATCACAAAATTTTGAACTACCAAACATTTTCCTATTTGTAAATAACAAGACATGTGCTGGTTTTTTGATTGAGTGAAACAATGATTTTGGACAACGAAATGATTTTCCATTTGGTGACTGGTAAGCTATCCAATTGCTTGAGAAAGGAAAGCTCCTCCTTAGGCAAGTGAGTTTATTTTTTAGTTTTGGGTCTGACTTTGGTTCAGTTTGTCATCGGATTGGATCGTGCTGTTAAGTTCGTGGGGGTCCATCACGGGTCTCATTTTGAAAATCTGAATTGTTAATGTGTAGAACTCGTCGAGTACTATATGCCTGTGAAAAATCGCGTTGATCGGATATCGATAGCTATGTGATCAAATTAGTTTTGTATAAAAAAAAATAGAGGGTAAATAAATTAACGGTTGATAAAAAACTATTTTGATCACATAGCTATCGATATCCGATCAACGTGATTTTTCACAAACATATAGTACTCGACGAGTTCTATACATTGAACGGTTCAGATTTTCAAAACGGAACCTGTGGTATGCCCTCACGGGCCTAACAGCACGACCCAGTCCGATGGTGGACTGGACCAAAGCCAGACCGTTTAGTTTTTCAATTTTTTTTGACTATTTTAGGCCAAGTTTGGGAAGACTAAATAAGTGCACTTTTGACTTTTTATGAAATATGAGTTGGATTTGGGTTGAGTTTGAAGTGATGTGTTAGAGAGGTGATGTGACTTAAATAAGATAATGTGACTTAAATAGGATAGTGATTTTTTGACTTTTTAGATTTTTTGGAGGATGCCAAACTTGGCCTTAGTTTAGGCTAAAAAGTTTGGTTTGGGAAGGATTTTTTGACTATTTAATTTTTTTTGACTTTTTTTGTGAGAGAATAGTGTAATGATTATAGATTTGATGTGATGTTTTATTTGTTGTGTTTAAAATAACTTATTTTATTTTTTTAAGCTAAAATAATAAAAAAATCCACAAACTAACTTGTCAAACGGAGGCGACTCTGTTTGAAATTTGGAAAATTTCATTTGAAAAATTAAACTACTTCAAAAGTATAAAAAGCTATAAACAACTTTTTATCCAAGATAAGTGCGATGTTACGGGAGAAAAAAATTGTGTAGGGCTGAGCAAGGAATCCGTGAAATCAATGATTATAGATTTGATGTGATATTTTATTTGTTGTGATTAAAATAGCCTATTTTATTTTTTGTAGCTAAAATAATCAAAAAAAATCCACAAACTAACTTGTCAAACGGAGGCGACTCTGTTTGAAATTTGGAAAATTTCATTTGAAAAATTAAACTACTTCAAAAGTATAAAAAGCTATAAACAACTTTTTATCCAAGATAAGTGCGATGTTACGGGAGAAAAAAATTGTGTGAAATGATTTTTTTTTAAAAATGTGTAAGTATTAGGAGAACAATCTGTTTAGGGAGAAAGTTTAATTTGATTACATTCACATGTTTGGCATGCATCTGAATTTTAAAAATAATCTTAGCCTCCGTTTGGGAAGTGGGTTAGCTTTTTGGTTTTTTGACTATTTTAACCTGGACTAAAAAGTTTGGTTTGGGAAGGACTTTTTGGCTTTTTGGACTTTTTTTGTGAGAGAAGAGTGTAATGATTATGGGTTGGATGTGATGTTTTGTTTGTTGTGGCTAAAATAGTCTATTTTATCTTTTGTGACTATTTTTGGTTCCAATTTTTTAGGAACCGTAAATAACGGATTGGTCCTGGTTTTATCCCAATCCGGTCCAATCCGGACCATGCTCACCCCTAAAATTGTGTGAAATGATTTTTTTTTAAAAATGTGAAAGTATTAGGAGAACAATCTGTTTAGGGAGAAAGTTTAATTTGATTACATTCACATGTTTGGCATGCATCTGAATTTTAAAAATACTCTTAGCCTCCGTTTGGAAAGTGGGTTGACTTTTTGATTTTTTGACTTTTTTGATTATTTTAGTCTGGACTAAAAAGTTTGGTTTGGGAAGGGCTTTTTGGCTTTTTGGACTTTTTTTGTGAGAGAAAAGTGTAATGATTATGGGTTGGATGTGATGTTTTGTTTGTTGTGGCTAAAATAGTCTATTTTATCTTTTGTGACTATTTTAGCCCAGTATTCCATTAACATAGCAATTGATCGTCAAAATGTTCAAAATCAATGATGGTAGAAACACTCGTTATGATAGGAAAATTAGGGATTGAAGATTATTTTATACAACATGTTCTAAAAACAAGATTAGTTTATGCAAAGGGAGTACGGGAATTTCACAACTTTCTTAAAATGTTTCTACTACTTGTTTGGACACCACTCCGAGTGAAAACTTTCCCAGGAAGGTGTAAAAGCATTTGAGCCGCTTTCATCCACTTGGACCATATTATTCACCTTCTTACTAAAAATATGACTTTCACAACAAATGCAATTATTCCATCCTCCATTAAAGCTCTTACCTTTGAACCGAAAATGGAAACAAAATGTGATGTGTGAAATGTGAAATTGGGTGGTTTCATTTTTCAGCTCATTTAAATATTTTACTCAAAAAAATAAATTTGGTGGAATCAATTTCCTGTGTCCTCTCACATGCAATTTTAAAACCCATTATACAGAAAGAAACACACCACCACCACCAGTCTCTCTCTCTCTCTCTCTCTCTCTCTGTCTATATATATATATATACATGTCATATGTATATTCTCTCTCTAAGTTGCCTTTCCAGGAAATCGACGATGCTGATGCTGATGCTGTTGTGTTTTACAAGCTTTACAATCTCGGAGTATTTTAATATATTTTGGAGCACTAATTTAAACATAAATCCCCAGCAAATGGGGGTTTTGCAAAGAACCCCCTTTGAAATACAATCTCTCTGCGCTTTAATGGCGCGCCTTCTACTTCTCTCTCTCTCTCTCTCTCGCTCTCTACTTCTATTGTGTCTCTCTCTCTCATCCTTCGTGCCAAAAATTCTACTTACTTGCTGCTCACTGTTTATAAAACCCTAACGCTTCAAAACCCTAGAGACTTGCGTCAACCCTTTTTTTAATTTGCAGTTTCGTATGACTTCCATAACTGTCCTTGACTTCTCTGGTACCTCTCTCTCTCTCTCTCTCTCTCTCTCTCCTTGCCTTGTGTATTTATTTGGCTTCTTTATGTAGGACTAATGTGCTTGTTTACTCTCATCATCTGCTGAATCTTGATCAAGCCATAACATTAATAAATAAATAAATAAAAAGTTTTTTGGGTCTCGGGTTTCAATTTCTCGATTGGGTTTGTTGATTTTCTGTTGAAGGTTTGTTAATCCACTTATATATTGAATATTGATTGCCTTTCGACATCAAAATTTGTTTTTTTTTTTTTTTTTTTTTTTTTTTTTTTTTTATCTTAGTTGCTCATTGGGTTTCTAAAAATCTGATTATCCTATTTCATTAGAATTATCTTAAATTTCTCATTTTCCTAAGGGTTTGCGTGCATGAACTGATGTATTGAATGTTGAGGAGCTCAAGATTATTTTTTTGGGGGGAAATCTCTCAGTTTGTGAAATAAGACAATTGTTTTTTTTTAATCTTTTACATGGGTAATCCAATTCTTTCTGGCTTATTGGCTTATCAAGACTCATTTATGAAGCATGACCAGTCTTGACTCCTGACACACAATAATCCTTCTTTTTGTTGTCAATTTTTCATCTTATCCACTTGAAAGATCGTTTTTTGGCTTCAATGGATTTTTTTATTTGGTTCCAGAATTGGTGATTAGTGTTTGCGTTCCATTTAATCTTGACTAATCCACAGCAAAAAAAAAAAGAAGTCTTGTATTTTTCGCATATTTGGTGATTATATAATGCGGTTTATTGGATTGTTATTGATTATTTTGTGTTAATTTGGTGAGCATACAGAGGATTTGAAGGCTTTGAAGGTGTTTTGAGTCTGATCAATGGTTAAGGGGAAAGAGAGAGAGAGAGAGACTGAGGATGAAGAAGAGACAGAACGTTTCGATGAATATTGCTACAGTATGAGCAAGAATGGTGAGCTTTATAAAGGCTGTTGGGTCAGTTCTGGTAGTCCATCACTGGAAAAGATGAAGACTTGCAAGACTACTATGGGAACAGGCCCGAACTGGCTTGGATTTTCTTCCTGTGATGGTAGTGATGATGGTACATCAGGTACGGAACCTCAGGATGCAGATTACTCTTACATTCCCTCACTTGATTATGAGTTAGAGAGCCAGATCTTGGCTAGGATTCCTAGGTCAGAATATTGGAAGTTATGCCTTGTGAACAGAAGGTGTTTAACTCTTTTGAAGAGTGGTGAGTTATTTAAGATTAGGAGAGAACTCGGAGTCAGAGAATCATCTGTTCTCATGGCACCGATAGGGGAGAACAGTTGGTGGGCATATGATAAGGAATTCAAGACTCGGAGAAAGCTGCCAAATTTACAAACAGATTTTTGTTTTGTATCTGGAGATAAAGAATCGTTTTGTGCAGGGACCCATTTGCTTGTTTCAGGAAGAGAGGTTGATGGGCTTGTCACTTGGAGGTATGAATTGGCAATGAACAGATGGTACAAGGGTCCTTCGATGATCACCCCAAGGTGCTTGTTTGCATCTGCTACGTGTGGTACATTTGCTTTTATAGCCGGTGGGGTTGGGATAGAGCCAAACAGTGAAGTCTATGATACTGCTGAGAAATATAATCCAGAGACAAAATCTTGGGAACCCCTTCAAAGGATGAAGAGGAAGAGGAAGCTTTGCTCAGGGTGTTACATGGACAACAAGTTCTATGTGATTGGTGGGCGAAACGCAGATGGCGAACTCACCTGTGGAGAATTTTTTGATGAAGGTATGAACAGGTGGAACTTAATCCCTGACATGTTGAAAGATGATCCGGTTTTAAGTTCTCATTCACCGCCTCTTGTTGCTGTTGTGAATAATGAGCTCTACTCACTCGAAACTTCTTCCAATCAGCTTAAGGTCTATGTGAAGAGTAGCAATACGTGGAAGCAGTTGGGTCCAGTCCCGGTGAGAGCTGATTTCAATAAAGGATGGGGTGTTGCATTCAAGTCTTTGGGCAATGAGCTGCTTGTAATAGGTGCACCCTCTGACTCTGGTGCTGGTAATTGTATGGCAATTTACACTTGCTGCCCTGATCTTGATGCCAACGAATTGCGATGGAGGCTGGTTAACAGAAACAGAAATCAAATTGGTCACTTCATTCTCAACTGTTCTGTTATGGTTGCTTAAGGACATTACTCTCTGTCATCTCTGGAGTTGCCTGATTAGAGTTTCTGAATAAAAACCCCAAATTGACAAACTAAGGGAATCGGTGTAACTAAATGCTTCCATGTAGTTCCTCCAGATCATGTCATTGCATCTGGGTAATTGTTATCTTTGTCTCCAATTTATGCATTTTCAACTAATGTATTCCTCACTATTTTGTGCATCGCCCCAGGAGTTAGGGGCCTGTTTCTGATTCTCTTGTTATTCTGTGTACTTTCTGCAAAGAAGTTCTAGCTTGTCCACAGTGCTTAGACTTAGAGCTCTGGTTCTGGTTCTTGTGCTTGTGATATTGTATTAAGGGTTGCTATGATTCCTATGGACCAAACCTGTTTAAGATGCTGACAAAATGGAGTTAAAAAGTTTAGTTACTGTGATAATTATATAACTATACGTGTTTTAAGTTTCCATATTTGGCCTAATTTTATTCTTCTTTCAAACTTGCACCAGGACCGACCTCATATGTGTCTAAAATCTCATTATTCAAAAATGCGCCAAGCAGCATATTAATTAAACATAATATTATGAACTCATATAACAATAAAAGTAAAAATTCCCAAATTGGATTTAAGTCACCTAATTCGTAACAAGATTCTGTGCAGATTGAGAATTTTCAGCAAGTTTCTGACAAGTTCAATAATTTGTTCCTTTCAACCATAACCAACTTATAACAAATTATAAAATTTTAAGTAGTTTACAAAATTTATTAAATTCTTATAATAAAAAAAAAGAAGAAGATGATTTAATTTGTTTAGAAAATAAATTTTATTTTCTTCATCCTTCTCCCAGCGCACATCACCATCTACTCCTATCTTTGTCAACCATCGCGGGTATTCTGAGAATTGTCCTTATGCAATTGAGTTGACAACTACATCCTGAGGTAGTTTTCAATTGATCTTATGTTTTTTTTTTATTTATTTTAAATTAAACATAAATGTAACTTGTTTTCATTTTTAAAAAAATTCTACTTTTTTATTTTTCGTGTTTTTTTGTTTTTATTGATTTTTTTTAATATTTTAAACAATTTTTTTACTTTTTAAACATACCAAACATAAATACACCTAAAAAATAAAAAAATTGTAAAAAAAATCTTTTAAAAATTCACTAAATACCAAAAATACAAGAATTCAGTACATTTTTTTTTATATTTTTATGTATTTATTAATTTTTTAAAATATTTTTTCACAAAATTTTTATTTTTTAGATATATCTAAGCGAAGTGCATCTAAAAAAGTAAAAAAAATATTTAAAATTTTAAAAATATTCACTAAAAACAAAAAAAATACGAAAATAAAAAAAGTCAATTTTTAAAAAATTTAATCCAGAAAACTCAAACCAAACGCACTGAATATTTTTTTGCAAATAAAAAAGTTGTAGATGGTAAATGTTATCAAACCACCTCATAGTATTTAAAAATAATTTAAATATAAACAATTTAGTCAATATTAATATAAAAATTAAAGTAAAAGAACAAATTATATCTTATAAAAAACCGATCCAAAATCAAAATTTGATTAGTCTTGGGCGGAAGGTTGGGCTTGCTTAGACAGGCTGACCCGAACTAGGTCCAGACTATATAACCCTATATCGTTAGATGGGCCGGGTTTTTAAACGCACTCCGAACTTGCCCTCTCCAATCCAACGAAGAAATGAAATGAGGTGGGGAGAGAGAGAGAGAGAGAAACACACACACACACACAGACTGTGAAAATCGATCTCCGTCCCTCGCCATTCTCATGCGGAGGGAGGCGAAGAGCGAAGAAACTCCACACCGAGACTGATTCATCATCCCGTAAGAATACTACCCACTCTCTTCGATCGAAGCTCTCTTAATTCTTGTACTTTTTCCCTCTAATCGTTGTAATTTTAATCAGTCTCATCTACACATTTTATTCCGATAAATCAGAGCATATATTTCAATCTGCTTATATATATATGGTTTCGTTTCATGTTCCCTTTTATTAATTTTACATCTTGTCTTTTTTGAACTTTGAAGCTTGAATTAAGGGCTAATTCGGGCTCCTGAAATATCTACATGTATGTTAAATTTCAGAGTCTCTGATGATTTTGAGCTATCCAATGTAGTGGTAAAGTTTAGGAAATTTGATGTTTTGGGTTTAACATAATTTGAGGGTTTTGGTGAGCTAAGATCTCAGGTGTTCCACCAAAAATTAGGGTTTTGGAGGCTATGAGAGTTTGGGTTTTTTGGGCTGGCCTCTTTTGAAGATTTTTTAGGGTGCGTGTTTTAATATAGGGATGTCGATGAATAACAATAACCCACCCAAGAATATTGGGGTTCCGTCCCCCTTTGGAAATGCCGGGGTTGTTTCTTCAAATTTGCCCGCAAATCCAACCGCACACCTCCAATCACAGTCCCAAGGTCAACAACAATTTGGTTCTGGTTTTCCAAGTCAATTTCAGTTGTCCCAGCTATCTGCAGCTCAAGCCCAGGCGTTTGCCCAAGCGCAGTCGAAGGCCCAACAAGCTCATGCCCAAGCTCAAGCTCAAGCAGCACATGCCCAATTCCAAGCTCAGTTACAAGCTCAAGGGTTGCCCCTTAATCAGTCCCACACTTCTGGGATTGGTAACATGGGTTCCTCTTCACCATTGGTAAACACACCAGGCAATGCAAGTGCGAAACGAATACCTCAGAAGCCACCGATGCGACCACCGGCCTTTTCAGCTACCAACACAATGTCACCCTTGAGAAATATGGAGCTTGCAGCTGCTGCTCGTAGAAAGAAGCAGAAGCTTCCTGAGAAGCAGTTGCAGGAGAGAGTGGCAGCAATTTTGCCTGAATCTGCTCTTTACACCCAGCTCCTTGAGTTTGAATCTCGTGTAGATGCTGCTTTGGCAAGAAAGAAAATTGACATCCAGGAGGCCATTAAAAACCCTCCCTCCATTCAGAAAACGCTTCGAATCTATGTGTTCAACACTTTCGCTAACCAGATTCGCACAATTCCTAAGAAGGCAAATGCTGAACCCCCTACTTGGTCCCTCAAGATAGTTGGAAGGATCTTGGAAGAGGGGATAGATCCTGATCAAGCTGGGATGATGCAGAGATCGAGTTCCTTGTACCCAAAGTTCTCATCTTTCTTCAAAAGAGTCACCATTTCCTTGGATCAGAGACTATATCCAGAAAACCATATTATTATGTGGGATAGTGCTCGATCACCTCAACATCAGGAAGGCTTTGAAGTAAAGAGGAAAGGGGATAAAGAATTTACGGCAAATATACGGTTAGAAATGAATTATACGCCTGAGAAGTTTAAGCTTTCACCAGCATTGATGGAAGTTCTTGGTATTGAGGTTGATACCCGCCCGAGAATCATAGCTGCTATCTGGCATTACGTAAAGGCTAGAAAATTGCAGAACCCAAATGATCCGTCTTATTTTAACTGTGATCCACCACTCCAGAAAGTATTTGGGGAAGAAAAGATGAAATTCACCATGGTTTCGCAGAAGATATCCCATCATTTATCTCCTCCGCAACCTATACATTTGGATCACAAGATCAAGCTTTCAGGGAATAGTCCAGCTGGAAATGCATGCTACGATGTGTTGGTGGATGTTCCCTTTCCAATCCAAAAGGAATTGAATACTTTATTAGCCAACACAGAGAAAACCAAGGAGATTGATACTTGCGATGAAGCAATTTGTACTGCTATAAGGAAGATCCACGAGCACCGTAGGAGACGAGCCTTCTTCCTTGGCTTCAGTCAATCGCCAGTGGAATTTATCAATAATTTGATTGAATCTCAAAGCAGGGATCTGAAGCTTGTAGCAGGGGAAGCAAGTCGTAGTGCTGAAAAAGATTCAGATTTCGTCAGATTTCTTCAATCAACCATGGTATGCTCATCGACTACTTGCTTCTGATAAGCTATTTCTTCATGTTCTCATCAAGAAAAAGAGAAGGGAAAAAAACAATATGCCCTCATCATTGAAATGCACTGTGTTACAACTTACATGGACTCTTCTATTTACTCCAGAGTACCTGTGTCCACTGGATATGATGAGGGTAAGGGTGTGAGATTTGTGTTCGAAACCGGTACCCAATTTAGACATTTGGATCCTTTAATTTATTACGGTGTATCAAAAAGAAGAAGCTCACGTTTACTAGTAAATAAACATTTACAGCCTTCCATGTGGACGAGATATAGAATTTTCGTATTTTTTCTAAATTCAATTTATAACATTTTATCTAAGAATATTATATAATATGCAATATATGTATCCATAATGCATCCCCGTACCCATATCCAACTTTTAGATACATATCTCATCAATATCCTAAGATTTAGGTTTATGAAGGTTTGATGCCTGGACCTGCACCAGCACCTGATATTTGTACATGAGTCCATGTAACATAGGAAATGCATGTGCACACGCATGATATTTGAAGTTTTTGATTGGTTTGGTAAACCTGGTAAGAAACATTTAGTTATCAACAAAACACAGGCGCACATGTATGTAATCAGCAGCCATCTGTTTTAGTTGTAAGATCACTGACACAAGGCTTATCATATGATACTCTATCTTCCATGTTGACAGAATGTTATTAAACTGTCAGTGATCATGTGATTTAGTATATGTCAGTGTCAGTGGGCGTAATATGTGAAATATTGTTGTTGGTACTCAATATCATCATTAATTATGTTTTGTGGATTAAATAGGGTTGAAGATGCTGTTATTCGTTATCTGAATCGCAAGCCAGTTGCAGATGGTCCTGGAAGCACATGAATTAGGGACCACGGAACTGCTGATGGGCACTTCTTCTGAGCTTACATGTATAAATCTTTTTGGCATCTCTTTTGGAATTGCTTTGGGTATATGTTTGGCCTTTTCATTTTCAGATAGGTAGGAAAATTGCAAAGAAAATTTGCTCTGTAGCCCATTTAAGGATTTCTTTGCTGCTACTCAGGTTCACAGTACCGTGATCGAGCTAATTTAAACAATTAGCAGGTTTGAGTGGTAATGGGGAGACTTGGTCTTGTAATGTCTGGGAATTTTGTGAATTTTGTTTTTTGTTGGTTAGATATTTGTAACAGCTGATGTTCTTGCCTGCAGCTATTCTGTCCATGGTTGTTATGGAAGGTGCAATACATTTTTTGAATAATTAAGATCCTTGAAATGGCATATCCAGACTCCAGTTACTGTGCTGCAGGCTTTGACATTGGCAACCTATACTGGTCTGAAATTTATAGGACATAACATTATTATTTATTTGTTTTGTTACTGGATGGCAAGGGCTGGAGCTACCATGCTTCAAGCTTTACATTCTTCAATGCCATTGTTTATCAGATATTGTTTGCAACTATGCAAAGCATCTTCAAATATGTCTGCATTTCTTTACATGAAACTGTCAGTACTTTCATGTGCAAAGCATCATTAATAATGTTTGCCCAGCCAACATACTACTTTCAAAATTGTGTTGTCTGCCAATTATTTTTTAGACAAATGTGATTTGATCGAATGGATCTTAATATCGGATTAATTTGATTTTTGTATGCATGATCTCCTTAGAAGACTTTGTAAAAGAACAATGCTAGGGATATCAACAAAATTACTAACAAATTTGTCAAATTACTTACATGGGTGTAGGATGTACATTCAAGTGGGGTCCACCTGCATGTGAGTATAGTAAATTTTTTGGTAACAAATTTGATGTCTCTAGCATTGTTGCATTATAAAATGGGAGAGGCTTTTCTCCAGTATGGGCTGGAGTGTGTTGTTGGACCCGTGAGGTACATAACGGGTTCTATTTCGATGATCTGAACTGTTCAATGTGTAGAGTTCGTCGAGTACTGCATGTTTGTAATAAAATTACGGTGATTGAATATCGATAGTTTCTTAGTTAGAGCATGTTTTATCAAGCCTCTCTTTTATAAAATGAATTGTTTAAATTATCGAGATAGACTTACAATGAGCCCATAGTGGGTGGAAATGGACCATCAAGTTGGAACCCAACCGGAGTTTTCCACTAGTCATTGATCATTACTTAATGAATACATCTAAGTTTGTTTGAGTTCTGAAGATACCTTAAAATGTCCTAAATATAGTTGTTGGGAGGCTAATATAGTCATATACAAAAATGTTTGGAAGAAATTGGTGAATATACTAAGGCTAAGTTTGGCAAGTTAAAAAAAAAAGTCAAAAAGTCAAAAAGTTATTCAAAAAATTAAAAAGTTATCACTATTCACCAAAAGTAAAAAATTACGGCTGCATAACTCCCAATTCAAATTTTTCCCTATAAATCAATCCCTACACACTAATTTATACAATTTTTTAATATACATTTTTTTATTTTTTTCTCAATTTTTTAGTTAAAAAAGATAAAAAATACATTTATTTAGGACACTCCAAACAATTCCTAAATTACTCATAAAATTAGCCTTAATATAATTGTTGGGACGGCTAATGATACTATGAAGACTTTAGATAAATGAAATTTGTCAAATTTGAAAATTTAAGCTAGTCAGGTGTTTAAAAATTAGTTCTTTTAGTATTTTTTTACTAAAAAATATGAAAAAAAAACATTTGGTTTGTGTTTGTAGAGTAATTTTTGAGATAAAATGTATAAAAATTTGTTTGGTTTGCCTTTTTAAAAAAAATTGTTTTGAAAAATTGTTTTGAAGAGAGTTTTAAAAAAAGTGATTGATTTGATGTGTATGAGAGATAGGGTGATTTTGAAAAGTAGATAACCAAACAAAATTTTGATATTTTTTTTGAAAAAATTTGTTTGGCTTAATTACTCTTGAAAATTTGTTTATAGAGAATTTTTTTCAAAATTTTTTCTAAAAAACAAACCAAACAAGGCTTTAGAATTTTGATTGATTCCCAAACAACAACTAAAGAGGGAGTCGCAGCCGTGCTCTTGCGCCCGTGTCATGCGTGTGACAGGCCTGTGCTATCGGGCCCAAAACGTCAGTCCAGCCCGAAAAGTTTTGTGTCCGTATACATATTGGCTGGCCTAGAGCAGTGCCCATACCGGCCCGGCCCTTTTTACATATAGGCTATCCATATATTACTTTGTTTTTTTTTAACCGTATTAATATATTCCTTCATTCGAGTTTTTTCTGCTTAACGAGGGAAAACAAAATGGCGGGAAAAGGTGATGCCGCAGAAGCTTCAGAAACATCATCATCGTCTTCAAAATCGAAGAACATGGAAGAAGAATCGGAGGTCTGTTGGAGAAAAGAAGTCGATACGAACCTAAAGAGACTCCATTCTCTTCTCTTCGGAGCCGATATTGCTCTCCAGAAAGGAGATTTCACTTCCGCCCAAGTTCTTGCTCTCCGCCTCGTCGGCTTCCTCGATTCCCAATCTCACACTGACGTCGATGAGGCTTTCATTCGACCTATTCGCCACGATGCCTTGTCCAAGATCGACGCTGCTCGACGCTCCCTCATTCCAGACTCCGATCGGTACGATCTATACACAAATATATTTTTCTCCTTCTTTCTGTAGTTATTGAGATGTGAATTTCTTGTATAAATTATAATTGTTAGAATTATTTGAGCAATTGTTAATTTATGGAGAATTTAAGAAGTACTAGTCAATTAATACCTAGATATGATACGATACGATGTATTCAACATACTGGTCTCGATTCTATGGATTGTTGTTTCTAAGGGCAAAAATCAGAAGTTGTCAAACTAGACGAAGTTATTGGAATAATGAAGCTTCCAATCCGCTGGAAAAGAGTTAAATAAAACTTGCTTTCAATTTGGTTACCTAGAAGATGAGTGTGTGGTTTGTTATGTTGATTTCATAAATTATTCTTCATTATGACAACAATTTGTGCCGCATATGTCTCCAGCCAAGCATTTGAACAAGCAGGAAGAGATCCAGGGTGTGTTTTTAGCAAGAGTGGAAATATGGACATTGAGAAGATTAGGCAGACAAAGTACTTTCAAGCCCTTTTTCAACAATCTAAACCAAAATCTTTTAATGAATCGGTATGAAGTTCTAAATCATGGATATTTGTCCCGCATATCATCAATTTACTATGTTGTTTATATATATGTTTAATGGAGTAATTGTTTGTAGCCTTTGAGAATGATCTGTTTTGTAATGTTAGATTCCATGATATCTTTCATCATTCTAGGGCTCATGAAGTTCACCATTTATCTCAGGGAGACCAACTGGAAAGGCAGGACAAGTTGAGTTGCAAGACTTCCAAAGTTTTGACACAAACAAAGTTGACATCCTTGTATGGAAATAGCATCTCTAGAGCAAATAATAGCCCGTCATGCAAGAATTTTCTGAATTTTAGAAGTACCAGCTCTGAGGACTGTACTATCATAGAAAAGTCTCACTCATACCACAACCTTCCCAAAGGTCAAGTTATCACTACATTCTCAAAAGTCGAGGAGGAGGAAAAAACTCATGGAAATAGTTTTGGAACAAAACGTGCACATATGGAAATCAGTAGCCCAAGACATGAGAACATCAAGTCACCAACAAGCAATGAAGAAGCTAACCCTGAGGTTTCTGGCAATGGATTTGTAACCGCCAGAGCAAAATTGGTAACAGTTTGAATTCTCAGGATAGTTTTTCTTCCAGTTGTTGCTACCATTAGACATGGCCAAAAATTATTTGTCTTCATTTGTATATTCCTTTACTGATTACTCTAATTTACAATCTGATTGCAAATGTAAGGGGTCCTAACTGAAACATCAAGCCTACGTGAATGACACACACACACACACTAAGTTTGGATTAGCTTAGAAGAAGCTCGATTCCATGATTAAATTTCCTTTTTAATCTAGTTATCATGACTTAATAAGTCAAGGAACTGAGATTAATACTGTAATAATTACAATCTTTTTCGAAAAATATTTGATTGTGGGCCTTGGGGCCATATAATAATTAGATGCAAAAGTAGATCGTGGTAAAATTCTCTCCTTGAAAAAGTTTGTTACCAACCTTCATTAAACTGTCTGTATGATTTCAATATGAGTTGTGAAACAAACCTGAAAACGTCTCCTAGAGATTCTTCTTATCGCAGATCAATAAACTGGCAAAAGTTAGAGAAAAGCTTGTGCAAGCTGGAATTGCCTCAGAACATTTGGCTAAAAATGAACTTCCTTCCCCTTAAATGGCAAAAATTGAATTTCAAAGTTGTCCCTCAAACTGAAATAGAAGCCTACTTCTTCTTGTTACACCATCTAATATTTGTAAGAGAATGTTTTGGACATGGAGAGCAAAGGAAACAAAAGCTATAGAAGTATTAAGTATATCAGTATTTGCAATGTAGTATATGGTGATTTCAGAATTTCGGATGTCGTTCCCTTGGCAATGTTCATTACCATTATGCCTTTATGCCACAGGAAATGGATGCAAGGCAAAGACGAGGAGGGTTAGTGGGATCACCAAGTGCTTCTGTCTCACCACAGAGTGATAATAATGGAACCAACAGAGGTTATGGTGCCAGATCGTATGGGTTTTCACGCCGTGGCATCCGTGGTAATTTTGTCCCCCCTATCAGATCTAATGGGGGTAATGTGGGTAACATGACTTCACGTATTGCAGGGAAGGGTGATGACGCATTAGATGACTCAATAAAGAGATGGTTAGTTATATATACTTGTTTTTCTTTTATTAGAAATGTGGTTTAAATCATCCTTCCTTCATGACATATATTCTCTCATGTTTTTAGTATGGACATGCTTTGTGGTCCTGATGGTGAACTCCCTGAGAAGTTAAGGAATTTAGAACCTCGTCTCATTGAACACATCAGCAATGAAATAATGGACCGGGATCCCAATGTTCGGTGGGATGATATTGGTAACATAAGATGCTTCAACATTTTTGTATGATCAGATGCTTCTAAAAATTTATATATTTAAAATTTTCTGGTAATTATTTCTCCTTGTCAATACTGCAGCTGGGTTGGATCATGCTAAAAAATGCGTTACAGAAATGGTGATATGGCCCTTATTACGTCCTGACATATTTAAAGGTTGCCGTTCTCCAGGGCGAGGTCTTCTTCTGTTTGGTCCTCCAGTAAGTATTTAATCTACCTACATAGGTGTGGATAAAAGTACCACCTGTTTATTGTTCATTCAATTTGATCTCATGTCTTAGGGAACAGGTAAAACAATGATAGGGAAAGCTATAGCTGGAGAGGCTAAAGCAACCTTTTTCTACATATCGGCCAGTTCATTGACAAGCAAATGGGTATGTGTCATTTCATTTCTGTGATAATTGCTTTGTTGATTTATTCTCTCTATGAAAATTTTGCATGATTTGCTACTTTATTTAAAATTTTATCAAAGTTTATCAATCAATACTTTGAATGTAGCCAAAATGGTCAACAGATTTTGCTTCCTTATCTGAAATGTTCTGTTGTTTATGTTCAACTTTTTCACTTACTTAATTCCTCAAATGATTCCTTTATTTCTGATCACCTCATTATGGTTTCACATACTATAGACTTATATCTGTAAATAGCAATGTGGATGCATAATTTCTGCTGCATCTATCTTGGCAGTGCTCCATTTGATGGAACTTAAGGCTTGGTTTGGTTTGGTTATCTATCTTGGCAGTGCACCACAGCATGATGTTTGTTCTTGCTGCTTCGAATATTGCATACACACAAATCTAATGCCTACAGCTCATTAAATGTCAATCTCTGATTGTAGATTGGTGAAGGTGAAAAGCTGGTGAGGGCACTTTTTGGAGTAGCCAGTTGTCGCCAGCCAGCTGTGATATTTGTTGATGAAATAGATTCACTTCTGTCTCAGGTATGTTAGGTTCTGATCCTGGAACTTAAGGGGAATATTTTTTGAGACCATCCTTGTGAATTCGATCACCACTTTCAATTTTCCTTCTAAGTTATCCACTATCTTTTGGTCGTGAAAAAAGATATTTTGCTAAGAAAGTCTACATGGTTGCAGCGGAAATCAGAAGGTGAACATGAATCAAGTCGACGACTCAAGACACAATTTCTCATTGAAATGGAAGGGTTTGATAGTGTGAGTGAGCAAATTCTGCTTATAGGTAATAGTTTAACTGCTGAACTTTCCCTATATCTGCATCCAGAGTTTTCTATACTTAGTTTCTGATTGCAAGAACAAATTTGAAGTCTGTGGCTTAAAGCTGGAACCATGACAAATTGTTGTAGTTTTTTGTGCACGTGTGTAAGAAAGTCTGTACCGAGTGCTAGTGAATGTTGCCACAACTCCCTTTGAGGCCATTTTTTAAGATAATCCAGCACAGCATACTGGATGATCTTAAAAGCTGAAAATTGTAATTAAGATCTTTACACAATACGCAATTTAAAGAATAAAAATAAAAAATAAATAAAAAGGAAAGAAAAGAAGAAGTCATTCCTGGTCACAATTGTTCTGAATAGGAAAATGTATTTGGTTTCTACTTCTATTTGAAATCAATATTACCCTGATTTCTGTTGTCCAAAGAAATTGTATAGTAGCTGTGCAGTCATTTTATGCATTGGTACCTTTACCAGGAGCAACAAATAGACCCCAAGAACTTGATGAGGCTGCAAGGAGACGACTTACAAAACGGCTCTATATTCCTCTCCCTTCCTCAGGTGCAATTTAGAGCCATTCAACTTTTATACCTTTCTTAATGCTTTGAATCATAGCTAACCATTTTATTTGGACATGAAGATGCAAGAGTGTGGATTATCCGTAACCTTCTAGAGAAGGATGGATTATTTAAGCTGTCAAAGGACGATACTGATACCATATGCAAGTTAACTGAAGGTCTGTGCTTGTACAGTTCATAGTTCTATCCATTGGCTTCTCTCGGCAGTTCCCTTGAATGTTAAATTTTAGCATTTGGCTTCTGGTTCTCTTGAATTTCCCTTGCTTTCTCTTCTTATTTTAGTTGTATATTTTTTTCAGGGTATTCAGGATCAGACATGAAGAATCTAGTGAAGGATGCTTCAATGGGTCCGCTAAGAGAGGCTCTGAGACAGGGTATAGAAATTACTAAGCTGAAAAAGGAGGATATGAGACCGGTTACTCTTCAGGTAATAGCATCCACACGCACTGAGAGAGAGAAAGAGCACGCAAACATGCAATCATGTTCGGTAGTTTTGTCATCCAAATAAATCTATATCGTTTTGTTCTTTGTAGATGGATTATCAATCACAAGAATAAAAAGTTTCTTCATTTATCTCAGCTTGATAAAGCTAGTTTGCCTTTTCCACTATGTAGGACTTTGAGGATGCATTGCAAGAGGTGAGGCCTTCCGTTTCACTGAATGAACTTGGTACGTATGAAGAGTGGAACAAGCAATTTGGAAGCTTATCACTGTGAATATCAGTTTGATTAATGCAGAAAGAAAACAGCAGAGAAAATTAAAGGTATGCAATAACTTTTGGCAACATCAAAAAGTAGTTCATTTCTCTTAGGTTTGCAAATAACTGGAATCAAACTGGCATACAAATATTAGATGGGGATTAGAAAGAACATGGGGGTGTTTGGCAAGTTGAATTTTAGCATTTTTTTTTTGGGTTAAAATCCACAAAATGACAAAATAGACTAAAATAGCTAATAAAAGATAAAATGTCACATTAAATTTATAATTATTTATTTTTTCTCTCACAAACATCGCATCTAACTATAAAAAAATCTAATCATCTTTTCAAACACAAATTTTAATTTATTAAAATAGTTAAAAACTAAAATAACAACTTTCCAAACACTCCTATAGCTTATAGCTTTTCTAAGTATAGCTTTGAACTTGCAAAACGTTGTGACAAATGGGTCCTAAATACTTTTGCCACTGCACACAGTATAGAAAAGTTAAAATTATTGAATATTGTGCATAAACTTAAAATATGTTTGAGGATTGATGTTTGATGAGATAAAACCCACATGGTATTTTTTTTTTTTTTTTACATTGTTGATTTGTTCTAGATGTAGTAGTGACTTTTCAAGGTGCCACGACTTCTTTCTTGCAACGAGGCATGAAAGGCGCAGACGATGAAGGATGTATGCTTATTGACCTTTACAAATTACATTAATAATGACATTATTAACTAGCTTAAAAGAAAGATCAACCCTCGCCATCCATTGCTTAGTCTTGGCTTATCACGTGATTATATACATTTTTTTGTTAACGTGGGTCAATAAATTCCTTCATTAAAGAAAATGAGTTGTATTTAAAATTTTAGTGATTGATTAAATAGACTCGGGCCATTATTATTGTAGGGCCATGTTTGGTAGAATTAATTGAAGTAAAAAATATTCACTTCCCTAAATACCCCGTTTCCAGAAATTGTTAAAATGATGGTCAACTTCAGTAAATGGTCGTACCATTCCTCCTACGAGACCTCACCTCGCGTTCCTCATCTTCTTTGGAACTAGTCATTGTTAAAACATAGACAGTGAATATTCCTCAAGTGTAAAAATTTACAGTGTCAGACACGCATGTGCTTTCGGAGTTTTGACTAGTTCTTTAAAAATCTTGGCAACTATTGAAGATCCCCATATAAGAAATCACATATTGTAATTGGCATCATAGGGCCATTATTGACCAGACAAATGAACACACCTACATTGAAGGCTATGGCACGCTCGATATAAATATGAAAGAATTGTGTATCTATCTATGAATTTATATTCCTCATCAATCTACCGAAAAAAACAATATTAATCAGAGTCATGGCACATGTGAGCTTTTAATGCACGACTCATCAAATATACAGAACAATGGCCAATTTTAAAATCGAAACCGTTGACTTGCGAACTGATTAATCAATTTTGAGGTCTCTTCACGACGGGTTTTTGTCTCCTGCGGATAAAAACATTGAAACCGCCAGCCATATGAGCAGTCAACATTGGCACAAATATGGACCGGTCCGAACCAGACGGTCTGATCTCAAACCGCTTTAGTATTGAAGCTACAACATACTTCATTTGAACGAAAGCCATTTCTTTCCCCAGACACATTCTTGGACCGGCTTGAAAAACCGGAAACTTGTAGGGACTTACTTGCATTAGCTCTCCTCTTCCTTCCTTGTCCGGTTCAGTAAACCATCTGTCCGGTTTGAACTCGAACTGGTCTTCACCCCACAGGTCCTTCATCCTCCCCATTCCATAAGGGAAGTAAGTCACTCTATCTCCGGCAAGCACTGGCGTACCATCTGGCAACCAGTCATCGGTGATAGCGTGTTTTGAATCCCACGCCACCGGTGGATACAGCCTCATGGATTCACAAAGACATGCCTTCAAAAACCTCATTTCCTTGAGTGATTCATTATCTGATAATCTCTCACCTGCAACTAATTCTATCTCTTTCACCACCTCTTGTTCTACTTCAGGATGGCGGGAAAGCAGGTAAAACAGCCACGTCATTGCTGCCGAGGTCGTGTCCCTTCCCGCCATTATAAAGCTTATCACCATGTCTCTTATCACCCTCTCATCGTGCCCTGCCAATATCAATTTTGTCAACAAATCTTCACCTTTTTTCTCTCCATCTTTTGCGATAATCTCTTTCTTGTCATGAATGATCTTTGTGACGAATGCATGGATTTCTTCAATGGCGTCTCTGAGTCTTCTCTCCGATCCAACTCCGAGCACTCTTTTAATCCTCCACATAACGAACAAAGGCTCTGAAGCTCGTCTTGCGCATATCTCCGAAGCCACATTGAAAGCTCTAGCGAGCGACAAAACAGACAGAGATGGATCTAGGGAAGAAGAATCAATCCCTAACGAAACTCTACAGATGATATCGAATGCGAGTCTTTTCAACAGCTCTTGCAAGTCCACAGCCTTGTTATCATCCTCCATTGCCAGCGACTCCATTATCGGCAAGAGCTTACCTTCAAACTCTTCTTCCATCGTGTTCTCAACATAGTCTCGTAACGACTGGGCGCTGAACTCGTGAATTGCTAGCTTGCGCTGGATGTGCCAGAGCTCACCGTCCACGTTGAAAATGCCACAGCCGAGAAAATCGCCAAGGATTTGAGTGAAGGCCTTGCCTTTGGGGTAGTTAGAGAAGTTCGTCTTGAGCATGTACTCCACGTTTTCTGGATTCGCCGTCACGACGATTCGGCGAGCTCCGAATCGATGAATTACGATCGTTTGATTGGATGAGTGGGAGAGGAGATCGGTGTACCAGTCTAACAGACGGTGGCTGTTCTTGTAGAAGGAAACGAAGCATCCGATGATTGGATACGTGGGTGGTCCGTTGCCGGAGAACTTGCGATGACGCCGGAATTCGCATGAGATTACATGCAATAAGCAGAGAAAGACACAGAGTGAGATTAGCATGAGTGGGTGTGTTGTGTGGAGAAACATTGACATGGTGATATAAGATATGAATAACAGTGTTGATTGGTAGTATTAATGGTGACTATATATTGGGTGTTTGGTGGAGTTTTTTTAAGTCAATTTATGGCTTTTGGTTTTTAAAAAATTATTTTGAATTGTTTGGTTAAATTTATTTCAAACAGTTTCTGATTCTAACAACTTATTTTAAGTCAAAAAAGCTGATTCTGAGAAGCTATTTACCCCTTGCTTCTGATTATCAGCTTCTGCTGTGAACATGTTAATTCACGGTTATACTCTTAGATTTTTTTATTTTTTATTTTTTTAAAAATAGAAAAAGACCCAAATGGACTATAAAATATTATTATTATTTTTTATGAAAAATGTAGACAAACAGTAAATAATAAAAAATAAAAATTAATTGAAAAAGTTTATTTAACAAACACTACTTATCAATTTAAATTTATAATCCAACAGTTATACCAAACAGATTAACAATTTCTGATTAAAATCATAATTTATAATTTGTTAAGTTATAATTTATAATCTGTTTTAACAGTTATACCAAAGAGCACAATATATAATCAATTGCAATACGTGTTTTTTCCTTTATTGAATTTTTTTTTTTATTATTTTATTTTATTTGTACGTGTTTTTGGAAACTTTTTCGAAGCATACCCACTTTGGACTTTACACGTGTGAGGTAGCTAGCTAGCTATTCATCATGATAAATGTTGTTTTATCCAATTGGTCTAGCAAAATTTCCTTGAACCTGCTTCGTAAAACCTTTCTAAGAGCATTTTTAGTAGCAAATGCTATAAAAGTATTTGTTATTATTATAATTTAGTAATGAGTAGTGGTAAATTGTTAAATTATAACAATAGTGCTTTAATAGTTACATTTTATTTTATTTTGATAAATTTTAACTAATTTTTTCTTTAATTTTTTAGGTGTTTGGATATAGATTTTTTAATGATTTTATTATTATTATTATTATTTTTTTTTTTGGGTGACTTATTTTGAACTTTTTGTAAAAAAATTAAATATTTACATTCTACCTGACTAAACGAATATAAAAAATTTAAAAATTTGAAAAAAAAAATTAAATACATTGCAAAATTATTGTCTTTATTTCAATAAGTTTGTATTTTTTCATAATAACAATGAAAAATTAAAATTATATTGAAAAATACATTACATTGCAAAAGCAAAATTATATTAAAACAATATATTGCATTGGAACAATACATTATATTGCAAAATAAGAATTATATTGAAACAGAAATACTAAAAATTACATTAGAAAATAAATGACATTGCAAAATGAAAGGTACATTTTTCTTCCATTATTCATTAGGAGATAGGAGAAAATAGTAATTAGGATTGTTCACATTTGCGGACCACTTTGTGAAATTTGCATTCTTGTGCATTATGTAATAAGCTTTTAGCTGAGGGTCCATATTAGAAATGTCCACAATCATTATGGAGTCTTCTTCCTCTTTTAGTTTAAGTTCTTTTATCTCCTGTAATGTTTGAATCCTTTTATCTTCTCTTTAAGCTTTTTTCATTTCTTTCTCAACAAAGTGTTGGTTAAATGTCTCCAATAAATTGTTAAATTTGTGGACTTCAGTTTCAATGACTTGATTTTTCTAAAGTAATTCTTTTGTAGATTTCTTACCTATAGGTCTTTTATCCTTTGCAGAGACACTACCATCACCAACACTTGGATTGTTACCTTCAGTTGGACTGTTATCGTCTTGAAGAGAAATGCAGTTATCCATAGGAAAATCGGGGATTGAATCGATAAATGGTGTATGTATCCTTGATTTGACTGTGTCTGTAGAAGTTACATTTTGCCACCTGATATTGTTTTGTAACACTGTCAACATTGTTTAAAAGTAAAATGTTTTTTTTCATCTTGATAGTATAAAAGTTTTGCTTGAAACATCTGTATGGATAAAATATTAAATAAATTAATTAGTTAATTTTTATATAACACAAAAAAAAAAAAACTAACATAATAAAAAAAAAAAAAAAAAAAAAAACTAACATAATAAATGAAAATGAAATCTTATTATATTAACTTTAGACATCCCACTTGGGTGTAGATTTTCGACTTGCGCTAAATACTCACGAAATTTGTTAGAACATTTCATGATTATATCTCGAGATTGGATAAACATTTGTGTTCTTAACTGATCATTCTGAAGTGTGTAATATTTTTCATAAATTCTCTTCTAGAAGTGTGCACAAGATTGTGAATTGTCAACAATTGGGTCTTCAGAAATGTGACACCAAGCTTTTCAAAGTGGCGCATTGCAATGTTTTCAAAATCGGACCGACGAGTGAACTGGAAAAGGGACCGGGTGGACGAGTTACCGGTTCAACCGTCAGGTCAAAGCGGTCGAACCGTGACGCCATAATTAATATTATATAATTAAAAAATATAATTATAAATTATAAATAAATAAAAATATATATAAATAATCAAATAAAAATAAAAATTGTTGCATAGTATTTATTAATAATATTTAATAAAGTCATAATTGATAAAAAAAAAAGCCACTTATTTTAAGGAAATTAAATTTTTTAAACATTCTCTCCATATAAATTGATTGAATGCTAGATTTAATTTTGGATAGAAATGAAATTTTTAACTTTCCCTCCAATCAATATGTTCCAAATAATTTGATTGAATCCCATATAGAATTTTGTAGGTTCTCTTTGAAAAATCTTTTTTTATAAATAAGAATAGACTTTCATAATCTTCTCAAGCTTTCAATGAGACTCTTCTTTATGAGAGGAGACTCTTGAAATAAGAATTTTTAGTCAAAATTTAGAAAAAAAAAAAAAACGGTTTGACCCTCCCGACCTGGTCCGAGTCACCGGTTTTACCGGTTCGACCACTGGGTCGTCGGGTTTTCTTGATTTTGGCCCCACTCCGAGTTTAGGGGGTTGACCGGACCGGAACAAGGCCCGGTTCTCGGTCCGACCGGCCGGTCCGGTCCGGGTTTGAAAACAATGGCGCATTGTTATCAATGGTGAATGATTTTTCTCTCTGCCTTTTATGAATCTTCCATAGTAATTATATGAAAAAAACTATAAATAAAAATGTAATTTGGGAGGTTTGTTATGAAATGAAATTGAGAAAAAGAGAGGAGAAAAAAAGAAAATAATTCTTAAGGCTTGTTGTGAAATGAAATTAAGATTGAGGGTTTGTATTTATAGAATTACAAAACATGATCTTTTTTTTTAAAAAAATATGGTCGTTGAGAATTTAAAAAAATATGGTCATTTATTTATAGTTGTTGTGCTTCTATTTTACAATTTTTTTAATAAACAAAATAGCACAATTGTTGGCAATCCAACGGCTGATTAATGAATAAGATCTCAGTTGTTGATTAAATAACAATCCAACGGTTGAGATCTATCCTCTAGAATGATCTGTTCAAGAGAAAACTCCCTTTCTCTCTTGCTCTCATCAAACCAGTTGAAGATGATGAGAGCATCTCTGTCACGACCCAAACCTATCCTTATAAGTTTAGTGTTATAACCGGTCAATAATCCTCGAATTACCAAAGACCTCTAACCTGAATACCATGGCATATGGAGGCTAGCGGAAACAAATAAAGAAACATACACAGCCTATTGAGCTGTGTAGATATATGAGACAGAAATTTAAAACTTAGATACATAAGAGTGACATCATATATATATAGTAGTCACACACCACCAAAATTACGTATGCAGAACTTACAAAACATGTTCGGACAAAACATAAAAAGGTACAACAGTCCCAAAGACTTGTTTTTCATAAACTTGATCGAATCACAAAAGGGAACCTCCTCATAAGGCACAGTGGTTGGCTAACCTAAACTCTCCAGACAGTAGGTTAGGCCTGGTTACGCGCCTGCTCACCTACATACGTGATATAAATAGTGAGCGGAAGTTCAGTGAATAATAACAGAGTAAAGAATTAATGAATGATGTCCCATAATAGATTTCATAACGGATACAGATTCGCATACTTAACCAGAAATCATAGCAGTTATATGTGGTACATCCATTTAGCTATCATATCATAACAATTCTTGCATAGTCGGTACCGACGACCACATAGGTTCACATCTTGTGCACAAGTAGTCATGGTATTGTTACCCCTAAGCGAGGGCCATGTGAACATAAACCTCGATATTGTTACCCCCGGGCAAGGGCCACATAAGTATGAGCCACAGTATGGTTACCCCTGGGGGAGAGCCACGTGTATGTTGGCCACGGTATTGTTACCCTCGGGCGAGGGCCACGTGAACTAAAGATGTCACAAATACATTTCAGAAAAATGGACATTCATTCATGATTCATAAAATAGCATTTCAGGAAACAGATCGTATCATTTAGTCAGAAAATACTTATATTCAAACATAGCTTTACAGAGCTATTATTCACTGATGGCTCTAGATGCAGACAAATCAGATAGTTTACGGTGCGTGACCCATACAAACATAACAGATACACAGATTGAAACACACACTCAGAATATACTTAACTTATTACGTTTCGTTCTTAGTGTGTTTCTAAGTCTTATTCTCATTATTATGTCTTAATCTTGGCCTAAGAATGCCTAGGATGCAATGAGGATGCCAAAGCATGTTGTTCTACACTTAGTCAAATTTGCTGAGAACATGGGCCTCGTTCGAGCACAACTTCCTTCACTCGGGCAGAGGTTCAAAAATGTGAGTGCTCGCTCGAGCGCAACTTCCTTCGCTTGAGCGGTTTGTAAACTTTGTAAAAGTACTGGTTGCTTGATTTTTCTACTTGACATACGTTCGACAGTCGCTCAAGCGTAAGACTGAGGTTTTCGCTTGAGCGCAACTCTTGTCGCTCGAGCGATCTGCAAAAATGGTAAACTTCTGGGAGCATGCATTTTATGCTTGAACCAACTTTAGGTCGCTCGAGCAGAGGTGCGAAAACAAAGGTGGTCGCTCGAGCGGAGAGGCAGAATTCTGGGATTTCCAGATTGCACTCCCAAGCTCAAAACTCGAATCAAACACTACAAAACTCATCTTTTTGGGCCAAAACTCAAGAAAACATTTAGAAACTTGTAGAATATCAAGGATTGAAGATCATTCTGCAAAAATCAAGGCCCATAGCATGCCAATTGTGCAAATTCAAGCTTGACAAATGGAAAACATCACACGCTTGAAATTGTT